CTCCCCGCCGCTCCCGGCCTGGCGCCGCGGGGCGCGCACCCCCGCCCACCCCGGATGCCGACGCCTTGGAGCGTGAAGCGGGTGCCGCGCTCGTGCGCGTGGGGAGGGGAGGCGGAGTGAGCTGCCCATCCGGGGAGGTAAGCAAGCCGCGGAGCCCAGACGACACAGTGGACCCTCTGAATCTGTGATTCCAGCGTCCTCAGTCACCTCCTCTGCCATGGGGGGGACTCATTCAGAAGGCTGATGGTGCCTGGCGCAAAGAAAGCGCCCAAAAATGTCACCTGCTATCGGTATCGTTGTGATCATCATCAATATTAAGGGAAAATTGGGGCCACAGAAAAAAAACTATCGGGAACTGAGGCCTCCTGGCGGAGCAGCCCTCCTTGGAGGTGAACAGTGGGGTGTGCCTGGGGCCACCCCAGCTGTGCGAGAGGCAGGGGCTGCCCCCACTCCAGCCTCGGTTTCCCCCTCTGTAGGGCTGGGCAGCACTGGCTTTGACCTCAGAGGACAGTCTCAGGTCAACTTGATGGCCACGCCTGGGCGTGGCCCCCTGCGGTCGCCCTGTGAGCTCCGCCGCCTTCCTGCTCCGACAGGGATAAACCAAGATGCCCAGACAGCCTGGGTCCCCTCTTTAATCTTCTGTCCCCTGCAAGGCTAAGTGTGGGTGCCTCTAGGCATCCCATGATTTCTGGGAACAGAGGCCCAGTTAGGAGAGTGACAGAACAGCCACATGATGAGATAGTACGCAACGAAAACTAGAAAACTATATGTGCTAACCTCAACAGTTGTCGAAACCCCCCCCCCCCCAACAGGCTGTGACACAACACAAATGCATGACCCTATTCGTGTTATCCAGGAGAGAATAAGTCCGAGGGGAGAGTTCCAGAAGGGGAGCCCCCAACCGGCACCAGGGTTATCCCCAGTGAGGAGCATGGGCAGGAGGAGAGGGAGGAGAGGGCGTCTTTCCTTCGCGGAGTGTAATTCATTATTCCCAGCTGGCGTTTGCAGGGAGGGGGCCTCCCTCCGAGGGGTTTCCTGGCCAGCAGGCTCCCTGGGCTCCATCTAGGGATCTGGCTGTGGGACGGGCCCGGGCTGTGGCCCCGCCTCCCAGCCGCCGGCACTGCTTGGGACCTGGGGCTGGGGACCTCGCAGCCGGCATTCAGTAGGGTCCCCCAGGCGCCCACCATATATGGCAAACCACCATCACTTGCCCGAAATAGACACGCAGCATCAAAATCGCACAGCGGAAACCCAGCGGCACCATTCGATTCCCACGAGAGACGCTGCCGCCCCGGCCCCACGACGGGGGCGCCTTCTCTCTGCCCAGCGCGGACACGAGCCCGCGTTTACACGTCAGGACGCCCTAGCACCCCACGGAGACTTTGTCCTTCGTGCGATTCTTAGTGTCTGAGTAACAGCTACATCCTCCCCGGGCCCCCAGGGGTCCTGTCCCACACTCTGGAAGGCCCCACTCCAGAAGGAAGAAGCAGAGATAACAGAGGCATTGAGACAGGAGAAGGAGAGACTTAAGGAGACAGGTTCAGGTGCCTGAATCTCCAAAGGCTGGCCTGGGGTGCAGGGGACCCCCAGGGCACTCAGCTGTGCCTGACTCTAGGGGGACAGATCCGAGTCCATGGTTTATTTGGGTCAGGGCTACCGAAGGGGTGAGCTCCCCGTCCCTGGAGGCACCCAAGAGTTGGCCACTTTGGATCACAAAGGGCACTCGCCCTTCCCTTCTACCAGCCTGAAGCCGGCTGGTAGCCACACCATGGGATCGGACTGCAGAATTCTCCAGTCCTGGGCTCCCTACCCTCCATCCAGACATTCTCTGACCCGCCCAGGCCACCCACCTGGTGCAGGCAGGTGACAAGAAGCCCCCTCCCTGGTCTCCCAGCCACCTCCAGTCTTTCTCCTTGCTACCCTTCACCTTCCGCTGCATCGCCCAGGGAGGAGAACGTGACCTTGGCCCTCCCCTGCTCTGCATCCTTCCCTAGCTCCCCGCCGCCTGCGGGACAGAGTCTAGAACGCTCAGTCCGGCATCCAGGGCTCTTCGTGTTCTGCCTCCCCGGCCTCGACTCCTGCTCCCACCAGGCACCCAGCAGTCCCAACTCTGAACTGCAGGCATTTGCATGCTTTTGCACTGGCTGTTCCCTCTGCCCGGAATGCCCTTCCCCCCGTCCAGCTGGCATCTCTGAGCTCATGCCCAACTCAACCGGCACCATTTTTATGAAGCCTTCTTGGGCGCCCCCACCCCTTCTCGCAGCAAGAACCCACATCTGTGCTCTGAAAGGACCCCTCGAGGGGGACCCTGGCTCTCTGGTCTCACCGTGTGATGGGCGGGGACCTGGCAGCCTGCCTGGAGGAAGGCAGAGCCGAGAAATGAAGAGAGAGATCCAGCCATGCCTGGAGTTCATGCTGGAACTGGAGCCGCTGAGAGCCAGAAAGGCGAGGCTACTTGCCCGTGGTCACACAGCTGGTTGGGGCTAAAAGTCAGGCCTGCAGACTCCCACAATGGGGCTGGAAACTTCTCAAAGGCAGGGCTTGTTTCTTATTCTTACTAGTAGGGATGAAAATCATTGTAGGCAATGAACAAAGGGAGCCGTGTGACAGGCACTTTACATAATGCATCAGTGAGCATTAGGATTGGCTACACGGGATGGAGGGCCCCAAGTGCTAGAGGCTTGAATTAGACAGAAATTAATCCTCTCCCGGGGAGGCAATCCTGGGCAGTGTCAGGGACCCAGGCTCCTGCCCTCTCGTTGCTCTGCCTTTCTTGGCACACGAACTTCCACCTCTTGATCTAAGATGGCTGCTCAAGCTCCAACCATCCCATCTGCATTCCAGCCAACAGGAAGCAGGAAGTTGGCAGAGAAAGGTGCACCTCTTCCCTTTAAGGACTCTTCCTGGAAGACGCACATGACACCTTCATTTTATCCCGTTGGGTGGAACTTAGCCACACGGCCAAAGCCTGGGGCCGGAGAAGGTGGGAAATGCAGTCTTCACACCAGGGGCCATTCCCGGCTGTGGCCTCTGTACCTGGCACACAGCAGGTGCTCAGAACATATTCTTTAAGCCAATGACTATGGGGAGGGGAGAGGTACTGAGGTGTCACCTGTGAGGCAGGCACCCTCAGTGTACCCATTTCTCAGATGAGAATGCCGAGGCCCAGAGGGCGCCCGGGCTCGCCCCAGGACCCGGGAGGTGGTGTGCTGGCCTTCGAACCCAGCCCGTCCGGCCCCAGGGCCCACAGGCCAGCCGCCTGGCAAGGTGTCGGGCACACGGTGGACCCCCAGAGAGAAAGTGCCCGTATCGAGCTCTCTGATCTGGAGGGCGGGCGGGCAGATGTGGGGCCGGATCCTGGAGCGCGGCCGGATCGGACT